TTTTTAACCTGGTAGATTATGTAAGAAAAACAATAGAAAAAGAACAGATCGATCTAGAAACTTTTCTTGACAATATTAAGCCTTTAAAGCTTACCTTGAATTATCTGAAAGAAGTAGAAGTTGAAGAATTTAAAAATCTTGTCGATTTAGTACTGGAAAAATTAAAAAATCAACCTAATTAATTAAAATCTTAAATTTCTTTAGTTATAAGGTAGTGTATTTAAATATTTTATGAGTTAAATTTTCGGTTTATTAACTTTGCTTATTATCTCAAATCTAGGAATTATGCAGTTTTTTTAATATGCCCAATCAACTTGGATTTTATAATTATATATGGAAATTTTTATTCTAGTAGTACTAAGTTTTGAAATGGCCTAATTTTATTTATTACGTATTATTTGGAATTATGTCAACATTTTATTATTTGATTAAGGAAAATTTTATTATGCATTTTATTATGCATTTTTTTTATTATTATGTTAGCATTTTATTTTACAATATTTAATTTTTTATATGGATAAATTATATTATGAAATTCAAGATTAAATTAGATACGTAATTGTGATGCAATTTAAACTGATTGATTGACCCTTACAATTGTAACAAATATAAGTTAAAATTTTCAATTGACTTTTTATTGTTGACACGTTTTTAAACAATGTTAATAGTCATCATTCGGGTAAATAATCATTAACTTTAAGTCTTCAGAATAAAGTAAATTTAGCAAATAATTAATTTGGGAATTAACATGCACTCAAAGTTAATGATTTTTGATTCTCCTCAATTGGGCACAAAAATTTTATAAAAATTGAACTTTGTTCATTGCCTTTTCTTGATATTAAATTTTACATTAGTTAAAATATTTAGACTACAAAGATTCCCGATGTTTCACGAAAAAAATTAGATAGTGTTGAAGAATGAAAACCTATAAGTTATAGGTAGAGTTTAGGCCCGGATAAGGATTACTCGGGTGACCCCGTATAACAATTTTGTCAAATCGTCAGTTGATTTCTATTAATCTGATTGGCTAAGTTCATACGATTCGAATTTCGAAAACCTTCGGCACGTTTTTTTTTCTCATAAAAAACAACCAATTTAGCAATAAAGAAGTCTGATTAAACAAATATGTATGGTGTTCCTGATGGTTCACAAAGAGCTTAGTAATAACCAATTCAACTGGTGTAATAACCAATTCAATTAGTGTATATTAGCTTTGCACGGCGTTTTTTTTTCTCATGAAAAACAAGCTAATTTAGCCTGATTAAACAAATATGTACGGCGTTCCTGGGTTTCACGAGAAGCTTATCAATAACAAATTCAATTGGTGCATACTTTTTTCTTCTCGCAATAAAACAAGATAATGCAATAATAAATATGTACAGGGTTCCTAATGCTTCACGAAAAGCTTATCAATAACCAATTCAGTGTTAATTGGTGTATACAAGCTAATTTAGCAACAAAAAGAAGCATGATTAAACAAATATGAACAGTGTTCCTGATGTTTCACGAAAAGCTTATCAATAACCAACTCAACTGGTGCATACTTTTGCACGACGTTTGTTTTCACACAATAAAACAAGATAATTCAATAACAAATATTAATGGCGTTCCCAATGTTTTACGAAAAGCTTATAACCAATTAAATTGGTGCATACTTTTGCACGGCGTTTTTTTTCTCGCAATAAAACAAGATAATACAATAACAAATATGTACGGGGTTTCTAAAGTTTCACGACGGCGTTTTTTTTTCTCAAAAAAACAAGCTAATTTAGCAATAAAGAAGCCAGATTAAACAAATATGTACGGCGTTCCTGATGTTTCGCGAAAAGCTTATCAATAGCTTTTTTCTCAAGTTAATTAGCAATAAAGAAGCCTGATTAAACAATATGTACGGCGTTCCTGATGTTTCACGAAAAGCTTATCGATAACTAATTCAATTGGTGTATACTAGGTTTGGCTGGCGTTTTTTCTCATAAAAAACAAGTTAATTTAGCAACAAAGAAGCCTGATTAAACAAATATGTACGGCGTTCCCAATATTTCACAAAGAGCTTATAACCAATTATAACCAATTCAATTGGTGAATACTTTACAAAAAATCTGTCAAAATTGAACTTGCTAAATAAGCAATTTAGCAGTACTGAAATGTACTATTAAATCCAAGCTTTTGCAAATATATGTACTTTATTAGCATTTTATTACTATAATTTAATTTTATAAATATATTTTCCAATTATTATGCTAATAAAATGCTAATATTATCAATATTTTAGTAATAATAAAGGCCTAAATATTACTATTATTTAACTAATTTATTAGGTATTTAAAAGTGCTGATAATGAAATAATCTTGTAATAAATTATTAAAATGACTAATTTAGTGCCAATAATGTGTTTTTTATTGCTTATATTTGGCTAATTATTGCCAATTTTAAAAATTTAAAATTTAGCTAAGTACTTTTGCACGGCGTTTGTTTTCACACAATAAAACAAGATAATTCAATAATAAATATTAACGGTGTTCCTAATGTTTTACGAAAAGCTTATCAATAACCAATTCAATTGGTGTATACTTTTGCACGTGTTTTTCTTCTCGCAATAAAACAAGATAATAACAAATATGTACGGGGTTTCTAATGTTTCACGAAAAGCTTATCAATAACCAATTCAATTGGTGTATACCAGCTTTGACGGCAATAAAGAAGCCTGATTAACAAATATGTATGGCGTTCCTGATGTTTCACAAAAAGCTCATCAATAGCCGATTCAATTGGTGTATACTAGTT